AGAAGAAATAAATCTTATAAATAGAATATTTTTGATAGTCAAACTTTTGCAAATTAGAACTCACTAAGTTTTATATTGAGGAAAGGGAAAAAAGAAGAAAAAAAACTCTTAATAATTTTTTATTATATCATTAAATTTATAATCCATCCTTTTTTTTACCAGTTTTTACTTTAGTTTCATTCTTATAAAACTAAGTCATGTATTATGGTTATGTTTGAATAAATAATTGTTATAATTAATAAATACTTATAAAAGAAATAAACGGGTAAAATAAATTAATTTTTGTATAAGTTAAATTAACTTATATGTAAAGAAATTAAACAAACGACATTTTATAAAAATCAAAGTGCATAAATTGATTTCAAAGGGAGAAACTTAATTTATTTTAATCTCTTACTTTTCTTAATAAATATTTATTAAAAATTATCCAAACCAAAATCTATATATAATCCATAATTAGACCAGATCTTATATACATTTATCTTGTCTCCGGACTGTGGGCTGGTTCAATTTTTTTTAAGTATTTAATATCTGATCGTGTTGTGAATAAGGTCTCTCATAGAAAATTACATGTGAGGAAATAATACAGAATTGTCTGAAATAAAAAGGAAAGTGAGAATTGAAGATGTGGAATAAATAAAAGAACCGGAGATGAATTTTGAACTACGTACCTAGGCACAAATATATATATAACCATATGTTTGTTGATTAATAAGGTCGGCATCAGATATATGCCATGCCGCAATCAAAGACAAATCATAATGCTCGTGGGAATCATAGTCAGGCAATCTTAATAAAATCTTCGAATATTTTGTTTGTTATAATTAGCGAATAAATCAATTTTATAAATGGCAAAAGTTCAAAATCATCCATATATTTTATTCCCCACGCGAAAAAAAGAGAGAAAAATAAGAGAATTTTTCTTTTCGATTTTTGCCTTTTGGAGGGTTTTGGATACTTCGCGAGAGGCTAAGCTATTCAATTCTCTTTGTCTCGTATCTTATAAAGCAACAGCGAAGGCAAAAGGGTATATATTATATCACTTAACGTGCTTCTTTTATTTATTTATTTTTGATAAGATGGTTCTTTGATTTGGTCCTTTTCTTCCCCTTGTAGTGAAAAATAATGTATATCTTATATACAGGGACGGAACCAGGATTTCAATACTGGGGGGCCGAGAATTGGAATGATCAAATGAGGCGCTACATTTTTTTAAAAAAAAAAAAATTCCAAAGTGATACCACATAGCAGGCCGTACCAGAAGTCCAAAAGTTGAATAAAAAAATAAATTTGGGTTATTCATTTAATTATACATATGAGTTTATATTAAAAATAGGGGGTGCCATATAGTAATATATATGTATATAAAAAAAAATTAAAATTGTTGGGGGGGCCGTGGCACCCGTAGGTCCCCCCTTGGCTCCGTCCTTGCTTATATACAGTTATATTATCTTTCTTATAGCAACGTCTACAGTTGTGTACTTCAACTCTCAAAACCCTAATTTTGCGACCCGTCATCGCATTTTTTTATCAATCTTTTTCCAACTTATGATAAAGTCAACATTCTTTCTTCTTTTTCTGTTCGCCATATCTTTCCTCTCTTTCACACGTATATTGGTCCATCTCTATTTATATATGTACGCTATAATAAACAATAAAAAGTACTCTTCATTTGAGTATTTAAGACAACTATTTACTTAAATTATTGGTTATGTTAAAACAATCTTACTTCATTTGATTTACCTTCAATGTAATTAACTATCTAGACACGTTAGTGCTTTGTTCTGTAATTGGGCACAAGAATGCATTAATAATTTATGTTGCTGTATATGTTCCATATAAGTAGGCGAGCATGCACGTACGTTACGTACGGTGCACATATAATATAACCAAGAAGAAGAGGATGGCCCTTGGGTTGTAAGTAGAGCCAGTTTTAGGGAGACTAAAGTACCTTAAATCTGTTGGGGGAGTCCTCTACGTATGCTATTGCTTTGCACCCTTTTTTGTTTTTGGTGTGCATCAAGTTGCTATAGCTACAGAACGTGGCGCCATGTTAGATTAGACAAACACACAAGGGTATATGTAAAAGTGAAACACTAGTAGTTTTGGAAGTGAACATCACTTGCATTGCACCACACCAAGATTATTCCTTTAGTGACAACCAAGCATGTTCCATGCATGCATTATCTAGAAATTTCCCAGAATATTTTTCGTCGTTATATTATATATATACAACGTACAAGTTCTAGAGTTGCTACTAAAAATATTATTCGATACGTAATTAGTTGCAACTTCTTCGCCCATACAGTATGGTCGTAGTGAGAATTTTTTACTAAAATAAAATTTTTTTAAAAAAAATTTACTAAAAAAGAACCTGTACCACTTTATTTACCCAAATAGCACATTTCACTGTTCACGTTCAGAATTCGGTTTCCGGGAATATTTGTGATTCACAATGATCTCAATTCTTTGTAATTTTGTAAAATTAATATAGCCATGCAACTGCAAACAATTTTGTTAGGAAATGTTTAATGCTACGGATAAATTGTAAAAGTGAAAAAACTTTGGTTGTTTATAGAATTTAATTTTAATATAGAAAAATTAATGAACGTTATTTTCAAAAACTTTACCCATCAAAATTAAACTCGTAATTTTTTTTGGCTTTCATGATATATGGGACGGAAAGTGTTAAAAAGACGAAGAAAGGACATGTATCTTTCATTTAATTATGGTCCAATTGATTTATATTTTGATAAAATTAATAATGGAATTGATTTTAAAATAATTAATAGTTTAAGAATTATATTCAATAAGTGATCGGTTTAGAGAATTATCCCCAGCACATGAAATGTGGCACTTATCTAGCCTATATGAGAATAAAATTAGTGAATAATTTAATAGTCTTTATTTATTTATTTAAATTAATCCTTTAGTAATTTTACTCACCAAAGAATTAATTTCAATGATTAAAAAGTTGACAAAACCACTTAAATCACAATGCAAATCCCATTTTTGTTGAAGCAAATGTAATCTTGTTGCTATCTAATTGATACAAACAACTTATTTTTTGATCCAGAACATCAATCCTCGAATTATATCTCATTGTTTTCGTAGCCTGACTTATAAATATTCGATTCGATTAAAAATTACTTTTCTCTATTTAGTTCTCATATAGAAAATTGAATATTAGTTATAGTTTGGCTTGCCCAAAAAGTTGGCATTGCAAAATAATTTTGTAATATTAATTATGTGATGATGGCAAAAAGATAAGAGGCTCTGACAATCCTTGGAAAACATTCATTTAGGAAATGTTTGGTTATAGGGGATAAATTTTTTCATATTCAGGAACTAGAAATTATAAATCCTGGATTCTTGGAAATAGTTCAAATATATTTAGTTATTCATAAACGTTCAAGGAAATATTCATAAGTTATTTTTATAAATTAAAAATTTTCATGTTTTATTATAATAGTATATTATATAAATATTTTTTTACAAAAATATCCTTTATTGCAATAAATGCATTAGATATATTTATTTACTTAAATCTTATTATAAATATGATATTAAATTATTTTAAAAAGTTAAAAATTTATAGTTAAAATTATTTAAATACAAAATTTAACAAAAAAAATAACTAAAGAAAAATGATACATAATAATTAAGACGGATAAAAATATATTATTTCATTTTATTCAAATAAAAATAATAATAATTACCATTAATTATAAAAACAAAAAATATTTTAATAATATTAATTATTAAAATTGACAAAATCAATAAATAATAAAACAGAAAAAAGAGAGAGAAATAGAGATATGGGAAGAAGAGATGCGAGAGGGAGAGAGGAAGGGAGGGGAAGTGAAAGTGAGAGAGAGAGAAAGAAAAAGAGAAATAAAAGTAGAGATAGAAAGAGAGAGATTTTTTATTTTAAAAAAAAATACTATATTTTTTTCATATACATGAATCTTTCTCTCTAACTCGAAAAAGTTAGATTTTAACTCCTTCATAAGAATATTTTTGTGAAAAAAATATTTCATGTATTAAATACTTCCTTAATTAAGGTAAATCAATATACACATGTTCATGGGATAGAAATCATTACTATCAAATTTATCCTTAAAAAGATGTGTTATTTATTAAGAGAAAATTAATGCAAATATTATTATTATTATTATAATTATATATCATCATCTAGCTATATCACAAATAATTATTTTTCATTTCTACTCCTTGACATACAGCTTCAATGATATTTCCCTTTCTAGAATTGGATGCGAATCTTTTAGTAGCGAAAAAGAGGTCCCAATTGGATAAATTCAACTTTTCTTCCAACGCAGCAGATGCCCCAAAGATAGATAAGGCAGAAACTTCACCATTAGGAAAAGAAAATGTATTATTGATGTCATGGTCATGCCAGATGAAGTGAGATCTGCTAAATGCAAAGCTTCTCGTAATACTTGGAAAAGTAGAACCTCTTAATAAATATAATAATATAATCTTTACCATGATTGGGAAATTAATAAAATCAAATAGCTTAATTAATTTATTATTCTATGTTCTGTACTATATATATACTATTCCTCATTTCCCAAACGGGAGTCATACGTATATATGCAATCGTGTAAAAACAAAACACGAAAACCGTTGATTTTGTCCTTAGAATCAAATAACAGTGTACATGAAAAAACAAAAAGTAACAATATATATGTGCATAATTTTTTTTGAAGCCGTACCAAGGACTCGTCTTTATGTTTTCCGTATGCATGCATGGATAGATCGAGAGATTCGTTTGTAGTAAAAGGAAGAGTTGGATCAATCACTTTCAACAAATGATCAAATAAAATTTTGAAACCGACCCAAATATCTCATCTATGATTCTCCACTTTTCTCCTCAGGCCTCAGCCACCCCATCTTTTTCTTTGCTTAGCGATGCCAATCCTCGACAGTCCACAGCATCCAAAATGCTTCAAACCCCTATATAAGCATGCCACATGTGGCTCAACTCATCAAGCAAACCACATACATTCCTCACTTGCTTCCTTGCTTCTTCATTTCAAGTATCACATTCTACCTCATTCACAAACTAGTCCTTCCATTTGGCATTGTTGCACAAACACAATGGATAGGGTGACAAAGATGGTATCAGAGAGGGCAGTGGTGATCTTCAGCAAGAGCTCGTGCTGCATGAGCCACACCATCAAGACCCTCTTCTGTGACTTTGGTGTGAATCCAGCGGTTCATGAGCTTGATGAGATCCCTAGAGGCAGAGACATTGAGCAAGCTCTTTCAAGACTTGGCTGTAGTCCTTCTGTGCCTGCTGTGTTCATTGGTGGTGAGCTTGTTGGTGGAGCCAATGAAGTCATGAGTCTTCACCTTAATCGCTCTCTCATTCCAATGCTTAAGAAAGCAGGAGCACTTTGGGTTTGATCAACGTATCTTCACCCTTCTCATCACCCACGCATGCACGCTACCTATATTAATAAACACGTTTTGGTTATAGGGGCTAATTATGAGGAAACTATATATATCCATGTTATTAGTATAGACTATAGAGTATGGCACTGGCTATGTAATAATAATAAGGCTAACTTAACTGATCCGAGTGTAGTTTAGCCTTTTTTTTGGGGGTTAATCTTAAATGTAATGTTATCGTTTTGATAGTTGTAATAAACTAGATGGAGTTGTAGCCTTAGCCTACATGATGAAATTTATCATTTTATTTTTAAGCATCAATCAGTAAATTAAAGTATCAGACGTACTTTCATAAAAAACTGTTTACAGATTTAGGTTATATATTCACCAACCTTCCGATTTATGACTAAAGAAGATCTAGAGAAAGAGAAAAATAATTAAATGTCCTTTCTTTTTTTTTTTCTAGACAATAGGTATATATGTTGTACTGGAAGCAATATATAGAATCATAGGGCAAGGCTCTCCCTTTTTCGGCCGGTAATAAATTGAGAAATTACAGAAGTAAAAGGAGAACACAGAGATGTAACCATCACTTTTCATAATTTCATTGGCCATCTACATTGGATTAGATACAATACTACTGGTGTTATACTGTTATACACTGTGCAAGTATCTTATTAGCTAGTGAAAATAATGGTGATTGGATTCTACTTCTAGTCCTTCGTTCAATTATTAACCCTGTTGTTATTCCTTGTTGAAGGAATGGCGATACTGGAATTATATAGTTACATCAATTAATTAATTAAACCAGAACAAAATCGTAAGAGCTAAAAGTGGAATATTTATAAGACAAAATTATATATTAATCAGAACAAAATCTTACTAGTTAAAAGTGGAATATTTATAAGACAAAATTACTGGCGCATGCGATTCGGTTACAAGCATTTATGAATTAGTTGATAGAGTACGTAACGTTATTTGTACATGAAATGTTTAGAACTAATTATAAAGGAAAGAGAAATATGTAATAAGAAGATAATAGATGCGGTGGAGAGAAACAGAGAGAAAAAGTAAATGTATAGAAATGAGATTATTCTAGCTGATAAGGGACAAATGCAGAAAATAGAATATATATATATAAACGCATTGGTTGAAGTGAATTCGACATATGAGTAATGTGGATTCCCTTTGATCATGAGTGGAGTTCAAATAGACGAAAGCATGGCTCGTGGAGCTTGAGAATGGACATGACGGAAACTGTTGTTAAGAAAATAACATGCACCAAAGAATTTGTAATCCATGTGAATATTATTTCTATGAATAAGAGATAGCCACATAAAATTAGGCTCATCAATTGTCATAAACCCATTTTACAAAAATGAATAATGACATCAGCTTTTCACGTCGTCATCTCATGGCTTTCCAACAAGTCCTCAGATGAAATGTAAAAAAAAAAAAGATTAATATTTTATTAGAACATTCAAGGGAGTATTACAGGCCTTTCGCGCGTGCCGATATCTATAGGACTTGAATTGGAATTATCAACCAATTCAAATTTTCGAAGTAAAGGAGAGAAAGAAACATTATAAAGATGAACTGTTTCACTATTAAATTGGATCTAATACACATGAGAAATTAGTTGATAGTTGGGATTATTAATTACGTATTTATAGTTTAACCAAGATATAATAATAATAATTTATATAACATTATTTTTATATTTATCTCTTTTTATCGTCAATAAATGTTAGAAATGATATGACAAATTAGTTGATAGTGATAAATAAGAAAACACATTCAAAAAAAGACAAGACAACTATAATTGTTCATATAAATTTGTAGGGACTTATACAAATCATATATAGTAATATATATATGTGGCGTAGGCCCCCGACGGAAGAAAAAAATCCGTGTTATACGGAGCAAAACAATGACCTGACACTGACAGTGCTAACGTGCGCATCCTTTCTCTCTTTCACCGCTCCTCTTTTCCACTTCATGTCCATTAATTTCATCAATCTTCTTATTTTCTTATTCTTTCCTCCACACAAGCTCACCTGCATTATTGTTACCAGATATTAGTATTTCTATATTTATTTTAAATTATTTTAAAATTATCAATATTTATTAAATAAATTGATAGGGTCTAATATTTGAATTTGAAGATTTTGAATTTATAAAAATCATTATTTTTTATTTTTATTTTTTATTATTTAAAATTTTAAAAGATAAAATAATTTAAAAATTATCTACACAAAAATAAAAAATAATTTTTATATATAGATATAAACTATTATTATTATTATCATTATTCAAATTTTCTGAATATTCGTTCTAAAATTTAACAACTATATCTTTATATTATTATTATTTTCAAACCTCATTATTCATATAAATTACTCATTTTATTGAATATTATATTGTCACATCACAGTACAAGTTTAACTAAACACTCCATAAGTAACTCACTATATTTTTACTTCAATACCAAAATTTAAAAAATTATTACTCTTTTTTTATGATTTACCTTCCCCCCCCCCCCTTTTTTTTCTTCTTGGTTTCATAGTGTAAAAATAACTTTTCTTATTATTTATCATTACATTCTCGCAGAAAAAATGAAGATATTAACTATATATCAATACCGATAATAATTGACTTATAAATATTTTATTTTCATTATTCAAAGATAAATACAAATATTCACAATTTAATAAGAATATATAGTGAAATAAAAAATAATATTTTATTAAAATTATAAAATATCTTATAAAAAATATTACTAATTTCTTTTGATTAAGAAATGTTTACAATATACTTTTGTTCATTCGTATTACATGCAAAGAAAGTTTATAGTCATGACGATTATAATAAACGATGATAACGAAACTTATTTAAATATTGTTTTAGAAGCTTTAATTTATTTATTTATATTTTATTTTAATGTTTTCCCTCCATCACATATTGTATATCCGATTATTTAGATTTGTCCCAAAATGCATACAACTCTAGAAAACTTGGAACTTTTTTCTTTTCCCTATACTATTGTTAGAATGTAGACCTATCTCAATATGACAAAATTGACTTAATATATGTGTAATATTTGATATTTTCTTCATTTGTTATATGCATGTATATACATTAGTATATTTGTGGATGAGAATATGTTTCAATTCATTTACTCAAAACAAATTATGATTTAAGTTTTATTGAATCGAAGTACCAAAATTTGATCACTAACTGTTTTCATAAGAACTTGGTGCTACTTGAATCAAAGTTCTAGTACAAATAAAAATATTTTTAATGTGTTAGAAAATAGATCGCAGTATTAACTTTAATTTGAGATTTATACAAAACTTGAACCTCACTCAAGGAATTAATTGCCCGATATAGATAGAATTAATAACTAAATATCATATATACTTACACACCGTGCTTCTTGATACGACATAATGGCAAAAAACAAAGAAAATAAATACAGTACTTGTATGGTGATTCCCTGATCAAATACATATACACATGGAATTTTTAAGTGGAGATAGCTACTTCAAATATCCACTTCACTGCACGTGAAACGGTTTCCTGGGTGTAGTAGATGCTCGGTTTTCCATTGATTGCAATCTCTGTTTGAGATGAAAAACTTCATACTGTACAACATCCAACAAGTCCAATAAAGTTTGGTCAAAACATTATAGCATAATGAACCGGACACAGACAAGTGGAAAACTTTAATTGAATAAATAACACCAAGAAACACCAAACACAACCAGCTTCCCAGACCCCTCAATTCAAACTTTGGCATATAAAACAAAAAAGGTTAAAACAGCTAAAGCCAACCAAATATGTACCTGTAGTTGGAATGCCCTTGCTTTTTCTCCTGTAATAACTCCTCTTGTGGAATGCAACTCCTACAACAAATTTTAATCAGCCAATAATAATAACCATGTATACAAGGATGCAAAAGCTTCCATAAATTAAAGTGTCACGCATGTATGAGTCTGTTTAGATACAAGTTAAAAATACTTTTGAACTTCTGTATTGGAAATAAAAAAGTATTTTGCAATGGAAAAATTCTCAAAAGGACTTCTAAGCTTGTATTCAAACTCTATGTACCTTCTGTGTGTCATCTAGAACAGCCTTCAGGAAGGCCACATCATGCTCAAGCCGTACATTATCAGCATGCACAATGTTTGATAGGTTGTTGGCCTCTTCCTGGGCTAACTCAAGACCAGCCAGCTTCTCTCTCATCAATTCCATCTCCTTCATTGCATCCGCAAATTTCCTCTCCATTTCCTGCCTGCTTTTAAGAACAGATGCCAAGCTTTTCTCTGCAGCTTCTTTGTTCGCCAGGGAAGCTGCCAATTGTCCCTCCAGAATTCCATTTTTCCTTAATAGGGCAGCCACTTTACTTTCATAGTAATGATAGACATTTGAAGTAGACAGTGATCCTGATTTATTGTTTTCAGTAAATGGTACATTATCACTTTCTAGCATGTCATTTTCAAATACAAGATTTTGTTGGATTGGAATTCCAGATGCCAAGGCTTGTTCCTCCATATTGGTCTTGACTCCACAAGTGTTCATCTGTTTACCATTGTCATTTTCGTTTGCTCTGAAATCTGCTGCCTGAAATTTATCACAAATAAAAATTCCATGCTCCATTATTTTTTTGCCATACATGTTAGGATGAGGATTGGAGTAGGAATTATTGCTGATGCATGAGTTGACATTGGACTTTCAAAAATTATAAAATAACATTTCTACACGCAATGAAGGGTTAGGAGGGGCGATAGATGCCAACATCGGAGCAAAAAACCCCACCATAGAAATATGGCACTTTATCTAGCAAACATTAGTTGCACCATAATCAGCTCATTATCAACACTCTAGGCAATTCATGCAAATATGAAATGGAATCGCAATGATATAGATGTTTGTTACAATTTGCACATTACTTCTCACATCTGAATGTTAGAACTACGACTTAATTGTTTTCCCTTAATGCAACAAAGTGAGACTCAAAGGGAACTAGACATAAGAGACTTATTTAGAGGGAGAAAACAGAACCCTGTGAAAGAACATAGGGCATGACATAATCAGAAAAGAAGCTAATTACATAAATGTATTTGCGCGTACGTGTTAGGAATATGTTAACGATGGAGGGTTAATAACATCAGACAATCTTTCTAGCAAGCACATAATATAAACAAATCTCATTCTTTTACACATGCTGAAACAAGATGCAGATAACTCGTTAAAATTTGTCAGGTAAATGCCTAAGGTGAGTCCATCCTGTTTTAAAAACACATTCGAAAAGTAT